CATGATTTTTCCAGTGTACACTCTTTCCATTCTCATATCTTCTCCAAATGGAAAAGTTCACAGGGTCAGACACAAGCATTGTCTGGTGAAACTGTTCTCTGTTCCATTTCTAGCTCTAGAAGAGACACCTTAAACCCATACTGGAGTCTTGTCTGGAGTGTCAGTGACTTCGGCTAGCACAGCATCTATTTTTGTCTTTTCTCAAATAGTTAAGAATCTGTCTTGGATTTTCTAAACTGTGGACACACTTGGGAAATGAGAAAGGGTGAAGAACAAGGGAATAAGGTCTCACACACAAGAGAATATCCTTCAGAAGACATATGAGAAGAAAGACATCTGTGGCGAGACCTCTCCCAGAGGCAGCCACTGAGTGGTAGACACAGGCTGTGTGGACAGTTACCGAAGCAGAGCTTGGGCATAGCAAAAGATGTTAATAAGTGCTTACTGAACAAACACATCCATAAGAGATCCTTTTACGACTCTAAAATCCCCACTCAAGATATCTGCTATTGAGTACTCCTTCCCAATGTCTCCGTGTCTCCTCCATAACTATTTCACAAATCACCATCACTGGCTCCTAGCACCACTTAGTTGGACTAGTATGGTTATTTCTTTCTTGATCCTCCTGAATCTGATCTCTCCTGGGGCCAATCCTTCCCCAACTGATGCTAGATGAATGTCCTCATACACTCCTTTCATTGTATACTTTGCGTATGCAATATTTACTTTGAAATTTTAATTTCTGTTTTTCTCAAAGTAATGTAGAATTATAAAAAGCCACATAATTGTGAAAGATTTATAATGAAAAACTAGCAGCCCCACTGTCTCACCTCTCCCAACCTCTGAATCTCACTCCCAACTCTCGCCTATTTCTTCTGGTATTCATTTCCAAATTTCTAAATATTATACTTAAAACACTGCTCTCTTTGTCTTTCAATTTCAGATACTTCTTAAAAAGACAACCTCATAGCAGAACCTAAGATTTCAGTCTTTAGCACCCTCTTTCCCTCTCCCTACTCTGCCTCCTCCATCCAAGTCAAGGCAATTATAGCACCATGAGGGCTAGCTCAGACTTCATCCTGGACAATGGGAACTGATTGATGGCTGTGCTGTGCAGAGAGCTTGCTATGCTTACATTTCTTTATTGTAACCCTTCTGTATTTTGTGAAATTAAATGCTTATGGGGTTGTGTATATAAATACATCCACATAGAGTGTGTGTGTGTGTGTGTACACATATAAAATATGTATATGGCATATGTATGTATGTCATTCAAAAACTTATGATCTTGTCAAAACTATACATATACATGTATATACCTGCACACACATGCATATACATAGGCACATATATGTATATGTCACAAATGAATTGTAGAGCTCTAAAATTGCTATATTTAAGAGAAAGTGAAATATTCCCTGATACATTATATTCAAGTCTTATGATTTTTGTCAAAACCATATGCATATGCATGTGTCTATACATGCATGCATATACATGCACACATGCAATTATGTACACATGTGCACATATGTGTCCATACATGTAGTTTTGACAAAACTATAGACTCTTGAATATAACATATCAGGGAATTTTTTTTTAATTAAAGAGCATTTTTTGAGCTGGATCCTCCTGTTCAAATCTGATCTTAATGCCCTCTAGACCACTGACAGCTCTCAGACTTCCCTTCACCATCATCATCCCGGGAATCAATCCCCTTCCATGTCTCCTCTATTGAATCCCTCATTTCTATGAGCATCATGTTTCTCTTAATTACTTATTTTTATTAATTCGCATTACCCAGTAACTTCTTCAGAAAGGGTATCTGAAAATATTGCTAATCAATCCTTGTGAATAATTGGTACTTTGGCTGGGTATAGAATTCATCTTAAAAGTTTTTTTTTTTCCTTCCTGAAAGCTTTAGAAAGATAGAACTTTCTAACTTTTAGAGTTATCATTGAGGGGCTCAATGTCAGCCTGAGTCTTAACTGTTGGTAGGTAAATTTTACCCTCTTCCCAATTGCTGGTGCTTTCAGAATACTGTTTACTCCCATGTTCTGAATTTCATGATGATTCATCTTGGTGTATTACCTTTAATTAGTTGTGCTGAGCACTCAGAGGACACTTTTATGGTTAATTAATGAATCCACCTTCTATCACCCTGCCATAAAAAAACTATTATCACAATATATCCAATGTGTACTTTCAATTTGAATATATTCTTGCAAACTGTTTTCTGGGCATACGTTTATGTAAATAGTATTATAATCATCTGGTCTCATTTTCACTAAACTATTCTTAAATACCCTATGTTCCGTGTGTACTTGGTATGTGTTGCTCCTAACTGCTACACTGTATGCATCCAACATTTTACCCGTCTAGTTTCCCTGTTGTCTACATTTCCCAGGTAGCCTACAACTCCCTATTGCCAAGGAACAATGCCGGAAAGAGCATCATTTGCACATGGCTTAGCAGATCTTTTAATCTGGCAACATCAGTCTTAGTTCTGGGAACATTTCTCACATTTTTCTGTTAATTCTTCCCATTTCACTGTTCTCTTCATGGAACTCATATTTAAATTTTGGATCAACCCTTTTTCTTTGTTTTCTATGTGATGGCCTCAACTTCATATTTCAGCCCTTTACTATCTTTTTATTTTTATTACATTTTTACATTAATTGCAAATTACTTACACTCTAAGTTAATTTCCAAGAGTGCTTGTTAACCTCAAATTCTTTTAATAATTATTTTGTAGATGAAATTATTTTTATTCTCTCTGCTAATATCACCACAGCTTTTGAATTTGTCTTCTACTCCTTGCTTTGTTTATATTCCCTCCAGTTCCTTTTTTTTTTTTTCTATTTATTATTTTGCTTTGGAGCTCTTACACTGGGCCTTTTCCTCAATGCTGATGCTCCCTAGCTGTGTGCTCAGATCAAAGAGTAAGGCAAGGAAAGCTCATCAGAAACTAAATGGCTGGGGCTTCCGGAGTGAACAGTGTAGTGGTCGAATGATGACCCCAAAAAACAATGCTCATATCCAAATTCCTGGAACTCCTGGATGCTGCCTCTGGTCCAGACAAAGGATCTTTGCAGATATAGTTAAGGATATTCAGATGAAAAGATCATCTGGATTATCCAGGAATCCTAAATCCAATGACAAGCATTGGTGTAAGAGCGAGGCAGAGGGAGATCACGCAGACCTGGGGGAGCAAGAGGCGGTGTGACCACAAAGGCAGAGGCTGGAGTGATGTGGCAATGAATGCCCGAAACTTGAAGTGGAAGAACATAAATTCTCCCCTCAAGTCCCTGGAAGAAGGATGGTCCTGCCAGATTCTGGACTTCTACCCTCCAGAACTGAGAGAATAAAATCTCAGTTTTAAGCTACCTAGTTTGTAGTGATTTGTTGTAGTAGCCATAGGAAACTAAGAGCTCACTGAAGGTGGTAGTGCGGGAACCTATTTCTCTGGTCTGCCTCAAATATCAGGATAGATCTTCTCTTTAAAACACTTTACATACAGAATTTAGAAGAATCCTCTAAATTGCTACCAGATGGCTGCATTTCTGGGAGAGCCGAAGTGGCTGGGGTACTGACATTCAGTTTGCGGAATTTCATGTAACTGTTTTCATTATATGTCAACCCCACCCTTGGATGCACACCCTGTTACCACCAAGCATCTGATTAGTTGTCCTGCCTTGCACCGCAGTGGGTATTGTGTGGGGCAGATGTCTGGAGACAGGTCTAAAGTAGAGGGAGGAGCAAGGATGTTCAGCCAATCCTCTTGTTTCTAGCACCACACCATGCAAGCCCCAGTTATTAGGGTTACCTGGAAGAAGATACCTGACAACCTCCAATTCTTGAGGCTTTCTTGGGCCCTCAACAATTAATTTTATTTTTTTATGGGCATTCCCCACTGTACACATTAAACCTCAGCTTTCCAACTACCTCAGTTACCATTCACCCCTTAGCTTCAAAAGTCATCACACATCTCTCATCTGCTGTGATTCCTCTTACTGGCTTTGCCCTTAGGTACCTCTTAATATGGATTTCCTGTGTTAGTGGAGTTTCAAGGAATGACCAGCTTGGTTCAGTCCGCCATGCTCACATTGAAGTACCACCTTATAAGTTGTCATTGGAAGAACTTAATGCCACTCTGACAAATTGAGTCCAGTTTTGCTGAGTAATATAAGGCCCTCTAAAACATTCCTCGACTCTTAGGCATCCTAAGATATCATGCCATGACCCCTCTACCCTCCAGGACATGTCCCCCATTTCTTCATCTTTGCTTAGGGTGTGGTATTCCCATTCTTGGGATGTTCACGCCCACGTATTCCATGTTATCCTAAGAGGCATTTTATATGCTTCTTGAAACCAACCTCAATGATTTCCAATAGTATAGATTTGTCCTTTCCACCCACTAAGTAATTATATCCAATATTAGTTAGTAAAATTCTCCCATTTCAGTTGCAGGCATTTGTGTTGTTATCCCAGCAAAACATGCTTCTCAAGCAGAGCAGGTGTGGGGGGGACCATACCTTGTACTTTATGTGCTCCTTGTAATACAGACCACGGTATTGGACATTGAGTACTTGCAAACTGATAAGTGAATTCAAGTCACAATTGTGGGATTTGATGTACAATATACACTGCAGCGTAAGAATCATTTGAGGATTAAACCTGCATCTTTTCGATTTTGTATTCCTGACAACCAGCACACTATTTGACATAGAATTGCCAAGTAAAAAGACGAATGGATAAATGAACTCTCGCCAATCACCATGTTCAGTATTGTACCTGATGCAAAGATTTTAACTCCTAAGAATAATAAAGGTGATTAGAACGATGGTTCAGTAGTGCATCTCCAGCATCTAGAACAGCAGTTGGCACAAAGGGACTGCTCAGTAAGTGTCTTCTAAATGAAGGTTAAATGAATGAATCTGTCATGAGTCAGGAGGCATTAGTTTCCAGTTAGCAAAAAAACAGAAAAACATCTGGCTTACCCAGAAAGTACTCCCAGGACTAGGTTGAGGACAAAGAAGGATCCGATGATGATGAGAGGGATGAAGTACAGCCAATTCCAGGTGGCTCCTAAGGCATCATTGGTCTGAAAGAAAAAAAAAATGGTTCCTTAATACTTCAGGCCATCTGTCAGAGGCAAGGCCAATATTCCTGCAGCTTCATACACAGGATTGTGTGTCAGACAGTGCAGCAGGTACATACTGCCTCCCTGCACTCCCAACCTGGCTTTACTGTCAGTCCATCTGTCCTCTGCCATGTACATAGTGGGGACACGGCATCAGCCTCCCCATAACTTCCATGTGGGAACATTCCAACACCCTTCCTTCACATGAGAAGATGGAATGCAGAGAAGCCAAGTACCTTTCCAAGGTCATGCAAAAACTAACTGGTATGATGGTGCTGGGTGACATGAGCTCTAAGCCTTTGCTCTCTAAGAAACAAATTCTCCAAAAGACAAAGGCAGGCTGTGCCCATCACTATTCTGTGAATGCTGGTGAAGTGTTTGATGGGGCTGCTTAGAAAAAATCAGGGCCATCCACATCTTGCTCAGCCCTTGACCTGGGCTTTGACTCTCCTTCCACCATAGTGCAGAGCTGGTCCAGGTCTGGCCCCAGCAAGGCTCTGGACAGAACAAGGAACACACTAGAATCGAATGGAGATCATTCTCTTTCTCTTATATTAACGCACAGGGAAGTGAAAAAATGCATCAAAATCTATATTTTGGATACTTGTACCATAAGTTGGAATAAAAGCCCCAGAATGACTAAGAATTAAGAGTTCTACCAAACATCTGTCCAAAAGCAGCAACCATTGCAGATGTCTCATATGTTGACAGTATGTTTTATTAGACCCTTGAACTAGAACATGGGACTATGTTGAAAAGTCTTCTCCAACGTATGTGCCTTTGGCTTTGTCTTGACTCTCACACACCAAGTCTTTTCAAGTAGTCTTCCTGAAATGTATTTCACATGTGCAGAGTTTTGAAATCGCCACCCAACTCCCAACTCCTCTTACACAAAATTTAATACCCATTTGAAACAACACGTATTTAATTCCCAATTCACTGGGGGGATCAAAGTCATCAAAGTCAAAACTCACATCCTACTTAAGTAAAATTAAGACTAGAACTCAAAATTTCTGGCACTCAGAACTGCTCAGAGAGATGATTACAACTGAAATAGACTCAAAATTAAACATTAAAACACTTTCTGAATTGGATGGAACAAAGACCTGTCAGTTTCAGTGGCTAAGATCTCTCTTTGGTTTAGGCAGCTCTGCTCAATACAAGCAGGAAGACATAAGCCAGACCTCAGGAAAACAGTTCCCGATTACCAGAAGAGGCAGAACTAGATGTCAAGAGTCACAAGAGTTTTAATGGACATGGAAACCTAGTTTTTCTGAGATAGCTGAAACATTGGCCTTCCTGTGAGCATCAAAACGAATTGAATGATCCTTGCATAGGTAGCTCTGTGTTCATGATCATAAACCAGACATTCTATAAAGACCAGTTAGTTCCAATGCTTCACCAGGGGGCTCCAGATTAACAGGTTTCATTCACTCTCTGGTTTTGCCAGCCTCCTATTTAGTGTTATTAGATAGCAAAGACTGAGTCTTTGCCTAGCACCTGGATCGGGGCTCAGCTACCCATAAATCTTACTCATTATCTGCAGTGACAAAAAATGACAATGACAAAATTGTGACAAGAAGTTGTCTCTCGTCTCAGAGGTAACAGAGCCATGGTCTGAGGCTAGCTCAGAGCAACCTCACTTGGGTGGAGAGAAGTATGTCCAAGATGGTGTCCTTCTCATTGCTGTAATCTAACCGGTAGCATTGTGCGCTATGGAAAATGGGCTTCAGCAACCAGAGAAACCTGGAAAACACGGCCAATTACATATGCCTCCCAGCCTATGAGAGGACCTGCAGAAAAAGGAACATGATTTACTTTGTTTATTATGATATTTCATAAACTTCCTTGATTGTAGAACCTTCTTTCTCAAAGAAAGCCTATTAATACATTGGGAAACACCTGGTATGAAATGTAGGGATGAACAGACTCCCCTCACCGGCCCACATTCTGGAATGTGCTTCTCAATTCTTCTAGAAAATGCCGATGACCAACAGGGTCTTTTTAACAGCGTTTTATGAGAATGATTTGGGTTTGCTTTAATCCATGTCAAAGCAGACACCTTAACTATTTACTCCAGTTTCTGTCTGGCTGCTGACAAAGGGTTTGGCACACTCAGATGCTCAATTGGTCAATAAATGACCACATTTCTAATAAGATGATTCTCTTGTCAAAAATAACCCAATGCAAATTCATTCTGGATACACCTATCCAACCATGGAATTCTCCTGAATTGCTACAAATGTCCTGCACCAAAGCCCTGGAGCCTCCTAGATGGGGGGGAACGGGGCGGGGGGAGAGAAGGGGAAGAAGAAGAAAGAGTCCGGAAGACAACAGCCCCAGTAGCGCCATGCCCTGGAGGTTATGAAAGATGACTGACAGCTTAAAGGTTCCTCCGGAGAAAGCAGCTTGACAGCTTCTCTAGATTATTCACAAACCTTTTAATAGACTTGCCGCACCCTCTCCACACCCAGCTCCCTCTCCCTTCTCCTCTCACTCCTTCCCCACCAGGTGACTTCCCCTCCCCTCACGTGCTGCTCCTCGGGTTAGTGACACATGGGGGGGGGGAACCCTCAGCAGGAAGTGGGCAAGTGAAGAACTTGTGCTTCTCTCCTCCAAAATGGAGGTTCGTCTGATGTTGATTAGGGCTTCCATCTCCTTCTGATTCATCATTATTAAAACCTTAAAACTGTCCAGTGTAGGAGAGACATCGACTCAATCATCTTGGGATTAAAAAAGAAGCAATCAAAAACTCAAGGCAACAAGCGTCCTGATACCATGAGAAGTGGAGTGGGGGGACACTGCGGGCGCCATGGCAGAGTGGTGGCTGTTGTCTCTGGTGGTATGCACACATGTCTGTCTCACAGGAAGAGGAAGGGAGCAGTACTTGAATAAGAGACTGTCACAGAAGCAGCAGAGAATGAAAGGGAGATAGAGTTACAAAGCTCACAAGCCTCTTTGGTATAGGATCCTTGCATTTTTATTTTCCCCTGCAATTCTTCCTGCGAGAACATGGGACAGCCTAGCTGAGGACTCCCCCATGCCGTTTCCAAACCACTTTCTCTTGGATTCTGACCCCAGAGAATCTCACAGGGGAACCTCTGCCACTCAGACCTCTATTGTAGAATTGCTAAGCGTAAATAAGGTCCTCCCTACGAAGAATGTTGGCACAGAGACTGCCAGCTGCCTCCTTCCACACCATTCATGGAGCGACTATTGCAATGGTTAACTTTAGATTGAGGGATGGTGAAGCATCCCTCAAGATGGTGTGTCCATCAAGATGTCCCAGAGAAGAATGGCCTGTGGGTCGGGGTACTCAGTGGGGAAGACCTACTCCTAATGTGGACAGGATCCCTCTAATTGGCTGGGGCCTTGGATGGAAAATGAAAAGGTAGAAATAAAGGGACTTGTGTATTTGTCTGCTCATGTGCACACTCACGATCTCTTCCTGAACCCCCAGAGGAGGACATCCTGTTCCTCCTGCCTTTGGGTATCAGAAGTCCTGGTCTGAACTAAACTTGAACTCTGCACCCAGTTGCCCCCCAAAGATGCTTGGGCCTTTGGCCTTGGACTAGGGTCTACACCATCAGCTTCCTTAGTTCTAAGGCTCCAGACTGGATTGAGCCAGCTACTGGCTCGTCTTGTTCTTCAATGTTATGGTTTAGATATAAGATGTCCCCCAAAAGCTCATGTGGGAGACAATAAGAGAAAGTTTAGAGGTGAAATGATTAGGTGAAGGCTCCCATAACCCAATCAATGTAATAATCCACTGATAGGGATTAACTGGGTAGGCAGGTAGGGTGTGGCTGGAGGAGGGGGGTCACTGGGTACACGCCTTTGAGGTTTATATTTCCTCTGTGGTGAGGAGAGCCCTCTGTGTCACGTTCTGAGCTGTTTTCCTCCTCCACTCCTTTCCACCATGATGTTCTGCCTATTTTGAGCCCAGAGTCAGTCAACTGTGGACTGAGACCTCTGAAACCGTGGCCCCCTAAATAAACCTTTCCTCCTAATCCGTTTTTGTTGGGTTTTGGGTCACAACGGCAAAAAAAGCCGACTAAAACACCCGATAGACAGATGACTCTTGTGAAATTTCTCAGCCTTGGTGATTATATGCACCAATTCTTGTGACAAATCCCTTCTGATACGTGCTATAGGTTCTGCTTCTCTGGAGCACCCCGACTAACCTGCCTACATGTCAGATATTACAGAGACGTACTTTGGGTCAGGGTCCTCTGGTTTAAGGAGTTGATGCCCCTCCCATCCACAATACCTTCCCCTAGACTGGCAGACCGGCTGCACTCCCTCCTTCTCACCTGCCGCTTCCCTGAGTGACACACACATGCACATGTTCACAGGAGGGTGATGACAGACAGAAAGCGGTTCGGGGGTGGGAGCCCACCTGCACAGGAGTGCTCGGCGGGTACCAGCCCTGACATCGTGGGAATGCGTTTCTTTGGGAACCTGCCTGATTGAGGGTGTGAGCTCACCCACTCCCTGCGTAAACAGGCACACACGGCAATTATCACATTAATCTTTGGGGGTGGGGTGGGAGGAGCAAGACTGGAGAGAAAGATGGGGATGGGGAGAGCAAGGAAAGGGGGCCCCATAGGAATCCTGGCCCGAGTTTGTACAGGCAGGACCAGATCCCCAGATCCCCACCTTTGGAAATAGGTCTCTAAGTGGGTTCCACAGAGATCCAAGAAAAATGTGGTGAAGGGCCCTTCAGATGTGTTTCCCCTTCACCCAGCAGCTCTGATTAGGGAAGATGAACTCTCTGACCAAGCAGGGAGGCCACGTATGTAAGACTAGGAAGGACAACACTGATCCCAAGGTCTGTTTAGAGACCAAGGGTTTCTGGGGCACATCTGCTTCCCTGGGTGAGGCAGCGCCAGCTGGAGGACCCGTGCGAGCCTACAGCAGGGTTTCTTCAACTGCAATGCAACTTCCACTGGGGACCAGAT